CTAACCGAAAGTTTGGAAATTCAAATCCACCAGCCGCTCCTTGAAAATCCTATCCAGGGTTACCATGAGTCGGAACTGACTGTATGGCACTTAACAATCACAACAGGGTAATAGTAACTTCCTCACTTTTTGACAGAGCAGGGAGGATCCAGAAGACCTGACCATCTCTGTAGTCCTCAGACCTGCAGCTGCCTTGGTTTTGCACAGCTCTTCCCTTTGCCCAGAACTAAATACTTGACTGGAACCTAATCCAGGGACAGGTGTTCAAAACTGTCATGGTTAGAGCTGTCAAATTACAAGAGATTCACACAGCAGTCAGTAATGGCTTGGAGAAATTAAATAAATGTATTTCTCTAACCAAACAAGACAGGATCATTTATTTATCCTACGTAAAACTGTCCCAGAAGGAGAAAAAATAAGGTATTATTTGTCCAAACTAAATAAAATTGGACAACTGAACATCTCCCCATGGATCCATTTACAGACCATATGGAAATATGCTAATCTTGTTGAGAAAATTTCCATTTTTTTAGTATGTTTTGAAATGCCCCAATGTGGCCAATAGAATTAATTTTCTATGTGATAAAAATTAACCAATATTAATGGTGTTTTCCCATTTAAATGGTAAATCATATATTATATATGTTTTTGTTGTTGTTAATTGTCATCCAGTCAGTTCTGACTCATAGAGAACCTGTATAGGATTTCCAAGGAGCAGTTGTATAGGGTTTGAATCTGCAATCATGCAGTTAGCAGTGCTGTGCTTATCCTAAAGCACCACACCAGGACTCACACATACACACACACACACACACACACACACACGTAGAGAGAAAGAGAGAGAGAGAGTCCTGCTGTGGAGCTGTACGATAAATACTAGACCACAAGGTCAGTGGTTCAAACTCACCAGCTGCTCCTTGAAAACGACGGCCCTTAACAACTATATATATATATATAGTTCTAGTGTGGTGCTGTGGGTTAATGAGCGATATTGCAAAGTGTCTGAACTGCAGGTCAGCGGTTCAAGCTCACCAGTCGCTCCTCAGAAACCCTATACAGGGTAGCTATGGGTCGGAACCAACTCAACGGCACTTAACAACAACAACAACAACACACAC